AGCTGGCTGCCACCCCATAGGGGCTCAAGCTCCTTGACACGCACAACCCTCCTCCTGTGGTGGACGCATCACTTGCTGTTACCTTTTCTGAGACCGGCGTCCGAAAATCCATGAAAGCCAACGGGGTCAGTGCAACAAAACGCAACAACTCATGCTCCACCTCTGCTCCTAGAGGGGCACGCTGAGAGGGTCGCAACTTGTCCAACTCAACCACACGCCTCCAAAGGGCGTTCAAACCGGCAAGCAGGGGGCGTCTGAACATGGCAATGTACACAAACCCTCCTCCGATGACCTGCAGCTCTCTTTGCGACGCTCTTCCATGAATCACCGCTTCACACGCCAGCTTCACGTACCTCATGACCTTTTCGGGCTTGGGCCCTGCCTTTCCTACTTCGCCATCCACCCATGCGCCCTGTACCTCTGCCTTCACTGCCTGCGTGACAGCCTTCTTCGGGTGTCTGGGGAGTCCTAGGGTTTCATATGTTTGTCGTACAGCTAGAGTCCAAGCCGATGGGGTCCCCGCCAACATGTCTGCCAATGTCCTGTCAACCTTCTTTAGCTCATCATAGTTATCCAGGTACACGCGGAAGAGGTGAGGTGCGCTACTAGCCGGTCTGTCCCTTCGGATCTCTTGATGACCAGATGCCAACCTCGACTCACCTTTCAATGCTTGATTGATCACTCGTCGGTGGACATGTTGAGCAATAGCTACCGAGTTTATGAAACCCATAGGCAACACCTGCGTCACCAAGTGCCACCCTGTCCCCGCATATCCTCCTGGGAGGGCCTCACTAGGGACCTCCCGTCCAAACCCCATGTACTTCCACCAACTGGGCGGAGTTCGGAACAGATAGAAAAAACAGCGAATGTCCTCTGATGAGGTCACGAGGAGTTGGTTGTCTTCAAGAATGATTGATGACATCCCTACAACACTGGGCAAAGTTGAGGTGTCTCCGACCAAGCTCCGGCAACAGGCGTTCGTCGGCACTAGGTTCATGATCAACCGACAAACTTCAAACAGGTTCCCGTGAGCATCCGTCGCCTGTTCCTGCTTACTAACAGCAAAAAGTCCGTTCAGTAATGGTCGTCCTCCTATATGGTGTAGTTCACTGCGATGCATGAGCCGGCATACCCCCCTTCGGATCAACCCCGAACACACCTCAGCCCAGTGGCTGGCCTCCACCATGATGCTTGGAGCCTTTCCCAAATGCTGGTCCTGAGGCGGCAGAAGAAATTCCTCAAAGTTCTTCACATAGGCTAAGGTGCCCCCATCACAAAACTCCTCCAACTCTAGACTGCCTACCGCCTCGGGAAATGCTGCTTCCACCATGCGCCAATCGAACCGACGTGCGACTTGAACAATCTCCCCAGAGTAATCGACCGACCGGGCTTGGAAGAACTCCCCGAAGTCAATGTCTGGAACTTCTGCTCCGCTAAGCTCCGACTCTTCTACCACTTTCTCCAACCTTTTGATCAAGTTCAACCGAGTCTTGTCCTCTCTCACCCTTACTATTGTCTTTGTCCCATACAATGAATTCAAAGCTTGCACCAATGCATCTATACAAAAACCTGGGGGAGTGCTAGGCTTCAGAGACGATGGAAGGGGCAGGGGGAACAAATCCCCTTTGGACTCGCTGCAACGCGCGTAAGCCTTCTCTTGCACCTTCAACGCCTCTAGAAGCGGCTCCCCAATGTCCTCAAATCTCAACCCCTTTTTTTGGCATGCCGTGGCAAGGTTGTACCGGCATTGTTCAAATGCCTGCCGGTTGCTTGCGCTCAACACCATCCATCTCGACCCACTTACCTGTGGGGAGGCATAGGTATTCGAAGCAGTGTCTCCCAATGAACTCTGGCTCTCTTTCAACGTTCGCCCAGCGCACTGGGAGTCCTGCTCCCTTGTCAAAAAAGCAATGTCAGCAGGCGGCTCCAATGTAGCCTTCTCCTCAACCGACACAACATTGTCACGCCCACCAGGCTTCCCCAACACAACACTCTTACGGCCATCGTGCTGGGAGTCCTGAGGCTCCCCTTCCATCTCCTCATATGGCCTCCGGCCCACATGCATCCTTCTCTTCTCCTCAAGCCCTTTCTTCAAGCCCTCTTCTCGACAACCCTTCAACAGCTCCTCTATCGCCCTCGCTTCCACACCTGATACAGCCTCTGCCCTCTCTTTTTCCAGCTCTCCTGCCCTCTGTAATGCCTGCTCTTCAGCCTCCTCTCTAGCCCTTTTCGACCCTCTCTCTGGCGGCTCTTCCATCTTTGGATCGTTCTTCTCACCTCCTTTGGAGCTTCCCCTCAGTTTCTTGCTACTCATTTTTCTTCTTGCCTTTCCCCTTCTCTCTTTTGCCCTTTTCGCCTTTTCCTTTGTCTCCTCCAGAGGTGTAACGATCCTTTCCTTTTCCCGCCCCCTCCCCTTTCTCTCGGCCTCCTGATCCACTGGCGGACCCATACGGCCGCTGGGAGGCAAGGCGGTCTCGAAGCTCCTCACGCGCCAGCTTTGCGGCCTCTTGCCCTTCGGGGCCTTTGCTTAACCCCATTGAATCAGCGCTCACTAGCTCTAACTGTCTTGCTACCGTCCAATGTCCGCCTCGAATCTGCTGATCGAGAGCCTTAACCTGCTGATCGAGAGCCTTAACCCTTTGTGCCAACAGGTCAAGGGCTCTTGCAGGATGACCACGGAGGAGTAAGTCGGCTCCCTGAGATAAGGTGAGGAGCTCCTGGCTCATGGACGGCGAGCAGAGCGCCTGCATCTCGCTCCGAAAGAATTGCGAGAAGATCGGTGGAAGGGTTCGGCGATCTTGGGAATATAAACTGCCGCTCTGGGTGAGCAGTGATTCTTTCATGCTCGCCACCGTTTGCGCGGCCAAACTTCCCGGATACCGCCTTGTCAGGCGGAGCGCTCTCTTTCGCTCCTCAAACAACCCTTCTCCAAACTCCTCTTCTTCAGACTCACTCGAGGAGCTTGTTCCACTCGATGCTTCACTTGAAGACCTTCTCCTCCTCTTCGAGCTCTTCCCTCCGAAGCGTTTTGCTCTTTTCAGGAGCCTACTGCGAACCTCTGCATTTGGGTCCAGGCAGGTCCCCTCATACAACGCGGACAAGGTCTTCTGCCCCCGTTCCATCAATGCAGTGCCCTCTTCAACCCCCGGCTCCTTCTTCTCGCCATGCCTCGCCTCATGCTTCTTTGTCTTTTCCTTCTTCTTCTTTTTTGCCTTCTTGTCCTTCACCTTTCCTTTCTCCTCTGACTCCTCCCTGGGAGACCCTGCCTCCCCTCGATCTGTCTTCTTTCTCTCCTCATGCAACTTTCGAAGCGACCCCAACTCATCCTCTGCTTCAACTTTCTTGGAGTCGCCCTCATACATGGTCTGCCATGGCTTCTTGTCCTCATCTTCCACCAACCAATACCCTGCTGCGTGGATCACATCCTCACCTGTCTCACGTCGCCCGCAACTAGGCCCGCAGACATGGAGCTGAAAGACACGTTTTCGGGGATCTGCCAGAAGCTCAGTCATATGGTCCGACTGGGTACCTGTAGCACGAAAGGTCAGGAAATCGTCATCCTTCCCCAGGCCCTCCACATAGCCTGCGAGTTTGACATGACCTTCATAGTATGAAGCCTGGGCCAACTCTACAAGGCCCAAGGTACGCAGCTGAACGGCGGCCAACTCCCTGAAGACATGCAGCCTCGTCACCTTCTCCTCCGTCTCCATACGACTAGCAGGCCTTTTCCGCAATGAGGATGCTCGGATGGCTGGTCGTGCTCTTGGCGGCATTATCTTCGCCTGTTGAAGAGCTCTTGCTTTGCTCGACGGGTCACTCCCTTATTCTTTCCTGCCCACCACCGCGGGTGGTTGCTGTATGGCACGCGTCCCACCCAGCCTGGGCCCTGTGGGACTGGCTGCCGCCGCGGCGGTCTCACTGGCGGTGGCCTCGCGGGGGGTTGGCGCACCGGTGGTGGAGCTGGCGGGGGACCTGGTGGCGTATGGGGGCTGCGGGGCTTCTCTGGTGACCTGAGCCTCACAGCCTCTTCCTTCTTGGCTTCTCGGACTCTTGAACCGGTCACAGACGATGTCCCCGTTCTTGATCTCCGTCTTCGGCGGCTCCGATCCTTCTTGTCGCGATGGCTTTCTCTCCTTCTTTTCTTGTCTCTGCCACGCGAACTGGGAGAGGAACTCGATCTCTCCCTCTTCCTTCTCCTCCTCCGGCTTCTGTCCTTCTTTGCGCTGATGGGCTCTTCAGTGACCTCTCCAGCCTCGGCCCCTTCGGCCGGGGATGCACGCTTGCTCTGAGGTGCTGGGGCTGGTCTCTTATCGGGCCGGTCCGCTGGGATGTCCTGGCCTCGGTGAGAGGGCCTTGGCACTCGGACGACCTGGGAGCTGTGGCCACGGTCTAAGCTCCCTTGGGGCGCCTCGGGGGCTGGAGGAGGAGGCGGTAATGGAGGTCTACTGACGACCTGTTTTGAGCTGCTGGATGGGCGGCTGGTTTCAGGATGGGGGCGATCACTCTTTTCCTTGTGTGGGCTGTTGTACTGCTTCAACACTCCTTCCTTTCTTTCGGGCTTTGCTAAGGGCTTTTCCTTGTCCTGGGGCTTTTCCTCTCTCTTGGGCTTCTCTTTGGATCCTTTGCTGTCCTTGTCCTCGAGGTTCTTGATCTCCTTGATCCAGTCTTCGAGGAGCCCGAAACACCCCTCCAGGAACACAGCCGCGGCCTCGTCCCGGTTGGGTGCCACCACCGACCGCAGGGACACCAACAACTGGTATCCCTTTCGGCAGGGCAGGCACGTTTGCAGTCCCTCGGCACGGACCACAAAGTGCCTGCAGCGGTCGCAGACTGGGAGAGGGCTCGCACCCTCTCCCATTCAAGCCTCTTAAGCCCCAATGCTACGGTGAAAATATGACCGGCTCTGTGATTAAACATGAGGACATTAGGTCATATTGTATTTGAATAGATATATATATGTCTATAATATCCTATATCGAATTTATAGATTCCATCGAATCTTTTGAGGAAATTCCACGCAAAGGCGGCCAAGAAGGATCCCCCAGGGCCCCGCCTTCAAGATCTTCAAGGATGTTTGAAAATATATAGATCTTCAAAATCCTTGAATATTTGCCAAAATGTTTGGCGAAAGAGTTCTGTACATAAAGACCCCTTGGATGCCAAAGGCTCCAAACCAAACGAAATGTGAAGAAATTTGCCCTGCTCACACGCTCAGCCTCCAGTCCGACTTGCAAACATGGAGAGCAAGCTTTTTTGACGATGTCGCTGATTTCCGAGAACGATCGTCACCTTCAAACTAGCAAAGGCAAGCAAACAGCAAATGGATTGCGGCAAACCTGTCTACCTAAACATCTCCTCCAACAGCACAACACAAAACTTTACGAAATCCGATGCAGTTACTTGTCCATCTTCTTCCTTGTGCTGAATCTTTGCAGCTTCTGAGTTTTTCTCATGTGATGGGCTTGGGTCCGGAGCACTCTTCACTTCGGCCACAGGTTCTGCCGGTGTTTCTTCACACGGTCTTGCCATCTCACCCTTGTTGGAGTCTGAATCCATGCGATCGGATGTTGCAACTCTTGAGGGCAAATGCGAGGTGGCTGGAGCCACCTGGTTCTTGTCGGTGCCAGAAAAGGAGAAACTGAGAACGCTCTGACCTCGAGGCCTTTTTGAAATCCGCTCGGGTTCTTTGGATTCAGCTTTCCATCCCTCAGTCCTTTCATTCTTGTCTGCAGCTTTCAAGCTCTCAAGCCCAGTGTCACCGCATCCTGCGCCCAGGTCCTTCTCACTCAAAGACGGTGGGGCTGAATCGTTAACGGGGTCTTTGGTCATTGCTGCGGCTTCAGGATTTCTCTGGATATCTGCCAATATGTCCTTTCCTGTTTGCTCTTCAGCTTTGGCACTTGCAACTGTTTGAGGAGAACTACTTCCGGCTTTGACCGTATTCGCCGAAGTCTTGTTGCAAGCCTTTTTGCGCCCCGGCATTGTCCCTGCTGTGCGCGTCCGCTTTCGCACAGGCGCTGATGCTTCTCCCAACGTAGGTGCCTCGCCTAAGATCCAACAGCAACTCATTCAATAAATGCACAAAATGGCAACATGTACATTGTACGCATCCAGATTTGCATTTGTCCAACCTGTATTGCTATGACCGCATAACTCATCTGCAGGCAAGCTTTGAGGTGACCTTAGTTCATAATTTGTTCCTGCTTGCAGCTTCTATTCTACAACCGAGTTGAGCTGGTGGCTGCAAGCTGAACTTCAGCTCCCGCTTGGTCATCCACTCTCGAAGTCCTCGCAAGACCAAACCCCTCCCCAAACATGCCTTATCTTGGGGCAACTATCGTTGCTACATGTTACAGCTCATTTTTGGCATTCCTCAGGTCCCCACGCTCTGCTGTGGTCTTCGCACCGAGGACCTGCAAAGCTGCATGCAGCTCAGCTGCACGGTTGTGAGCGAAAACCAGGCGACCTCAAGACAAAGAACAAGGCACCTCCAACAGAATGTAGTGGCCATGAATAATAGTGGGAGCATTGCCGATTCCCGAGTGAACAACTCTCAGCAGTGGGTATCACAACTGAATCCAAGACACCCGTCTTCGTCCAGTGCAGGAGAATTCGAAAACAGGGTAGCGAGATCTGACGGGGAGTTTGAATCATCACGAGCATTCCTGCAAACAGCAGCCTATGTTTTCCAAGCCTTCGAGAGCGGACCCCCTTTTGCTGCACACAGCGCCCAACTTCCCTAAGTTGGTTCAAACAAGCCGAGAGGTAATGAAATATAATTCAAACAATTCTGAAGTCAGAATCAAGTTATATATATATATATGATCATAAATTGCAGTTTTCAGTCTCAACCTGAAGGCTGTGACCTGAAGTGCCGGGCAGCGGTGCTGCAAGGGAAGGAGTGACCTGGAGGGCAGCGTGGGTCTTTGCTTGTGCACCCAACCTGTCCCGAATACGTACCAATATCTGGTGACCCTTCTTGCTTCAATCTGGCAGTGCTAGCCCGGCGGTCATGGCGAGGTTGCGATCTAAGCCAAGGTACTCTTTGCTCAGAAAAAGCCCTGGATGCTTTCCAGTGACCTGTATGCGAAAAAGAATTCTCTGAAAGGAAATCAATTAAAAGAGAACTCAAGTGCATCCTCCTATAACTACCGTCAGGCGGTGCCTCTGTAAGTCGAACTTGTGCCGAGCGTGCCCTGCCCGAAGGAGGATGTGGTGCTGGAGAAAGAGGATCATCCTCCACCTCGATCATGGGCAAGTTAGCTCAGGCAAATCTTCCGAGTGATCAACCACCAATCTGAGCACTGCACCATACACTCATTGCTTGCAGGCCGGGTGTCCAATTCGACCTTGTCGGCGCTATTGGCCCTACATCCGTGCAAGACTCTAAGCATCTCAGAAAAGCAAACCAGAGTGGACTGTTGAGAGGTGGGCAACTTTCAAGAATCCACTTTTTAGATCGTAGCGAAAGTCAATGTTCCTTGGTGACCGAAGGTGGACGGGTGAAAGAATTCATTCGACTGCGCGTGAACAAACATGGACTTCCTTTTCCAGCTACGCATCTTGCAGCCCAGGGCGGTAAGTTCACTGACTTTCTTTGCACGGCTGTACTTTGCATAACCTCAGCTAAAAATGACAGCCAAATAAAATTGATAACACTGGGCCTGTGAAGGGTCAAATTTCGTAACTCACCCATATGCCCGGGGCCCACGGCATAAATGGGAGTGTTAGTACCGAACTTTCCCATGGGATCGGGCTGAACAAACACACAGGCCAAGGGCAATCCTTGTCACTGCGGTGCCTGGACCATCACCAAATGCAGATGCAAAACAATGCTTAACAATGCTTAGCTGTATGGTTGTCAAGCCCTTCCATAACCTCCAAAGAGACAGAGGCCCAAACAGTTGTATCCAACAAGAATGTGTAATTCTGCTGCTGAGGCACGGCGGTGCGCATCTGTGCCCTTTTTCTTTGGGTTTGGTGCAAAGCGAATCTTGTCCTGGTGCATCTCAGTGGTTTTCATGTTCCATGCAATCATTTCTGCTCAACCATCCTCTCCAAGCAACAATAGCGGACGTTCAGCTTGCGGAACAGCCTGTCCCGACAGTTTCCTGCCATGTGAAACGGGCCACTAAGCGGCAATTCAGCTGCGTGAAGAAAACAATCTCCGACCTGCTGCCTGATGCCTCTGGCACTTTCTTCAATGCCGGGAGCCTCGTTCAATTAGTGCTCAGTGTTTCCGCCTTTTCTGCAAGCTTGAGATTGCGGCTGTTTCTTCTGTTTTCTCACTGCGAAAGCCTGGAGTGCTGTCATGGGAAAAGGTTGATGGGGTGGAGCAGGCATGCAGGCAGGGAGGGAACAGTGAGCAAAGCTTGGGGCACCTTTAGCCGTGCCAAAGCCGCCAACGCGGTCTTTCTCTTTTCCTTCCCCTGGTCACAGGTCTTTCTTGACTCACCATGACCCACATAGGATGCCGGGGCCGCCTTTAGTTGAGGGATCATAAACCTGCAGAGTCCTTTAAGACGACGAACGGCAAACTTCCGCCTGAGTGCTGGGCAAGCATACCACAAAACAAGTAGGCCGGAGTGAGCTCTCGACGCTTTTACTCCGAGCCCCGTCTGGCTGATGAAGCGAACCTGCTGCACAATTGCCAACTAGAGCATTCAACTAAAATAACCAAAGTCAAAGCAGAAACCATAAAAATTGGAAGTTAAGGCCTCTGTGGCATTCTGACGGCACTTGTCGCCTTCACCTGAACGTCAGTGCAAATGACTCCTTGTATATCATGAAGGGTGAAGGCAAACTCAAGTTCAGGAAAAAAGAATACTTCCTAGTTCCTAGTATGTTTGAGTGCTATGATGCTGGGTGTGTGGCTAGGGGCTGCAATCAAAGTAGGGAAGAGTTCGTGAAGCTGCTGCGCACCGCACCACTCCTTCCGGCCACACATGACCAAGCCACCAAGCTCTATCCGATCGAACGTCCCCAAAATCGGCAAAATCGGCTCCTCAGATTTGCGGATGGAGCCTCCCACATGGAACTTGCTTTGTAGGCCGCCACCGTTCGTATAAGGAGACGTCACACCTGCAAAAGGATCTGGCCAGATTTGATAAAGAAATTTGTCAACAAAAACCAAGACCAATTTGCATTCAAAGGTCCTGCATACATCCTGTAGCGCAACACAACTTTGTCCTCCAAGCTGGTGAAGCCCCGGCCCCTAGTGCACACTACAGCACAGCGACTCTCCTTCGCAAAGTGCCTCACTGAGAACTCCGCATCCTGGCAAGTGGTTGTTTTTCTCTAAAGCCAACCGTGTCAATCTTGCATGCTATGTCCTCAACGGCATCTGGGAGTCGCCGCAGCAGGTCGGGTGCGGCATCCGGGCGGCAAATGAAACCGTGTAAATACCTCACATGTTGGGCCTGTGGCGTTTCAATCTGGAGCACTTTCTAAACATAGAAGGACACAGCCAGGATGCCCATTGACCAGCCCATTCCGCATCGAGACGTCGTCCATGACTGAAACAGAAAGATCGCTCTAACACAGCAGCCAGGACGAGCAAGGAACAAAGCAGGCACCACGCTAACGCCAGGCCAGGCTGCCAAGAAAACGTGGATTTTGAGAAGTGCTGAGCCCCCACAAGAAAGCACCCGTTTCCTGCAACAACATGCGGACACTGTGCCATGTGCGTACTTCACCCCGCCCAAGCCCCAAGTGGCAGCAAGAGTTCCTTCATGCGCTGGTACGCATCACGTACGATCTTCAAGAAATGTCCTGGGTGGCAAAGTGGTCAAAGGGACTGTAGCTTTGGTGGATACTAGAAAACGAGTCCTCGAGGTAGGTCAATGCATGACGATGTGTCGCTGCCCTCTCGAATTTTCCACCTCAGGACTGGCCATGGTTCAACGAGGATGCACTATTGTTTTGCCAATGGTCGTCCAGTTTTTTGTTGTTCAACGCAGGCATCGAATGCAGCCAGGAAGCTTGACCCCTTCCATGTCATCATCTAAACTTACCACATAGGTATCTGCCGGAAAAAATTTGTAGATAAAATTGCCTCAATGCAACCCCAGGACGTATGGGCAAAACTGCGCGGTTTAGGGTGCCGAATGCATCGCACACAGGCGGGCACTAAAAACAACAAACCGAGCTGAGAGACGGCTGTCGCGGACTCCAGGCATCGATATCTGAATCCGTACATTCGCCCACGCGGATCCCTGACACAGAAAATGCCAAGAGTGCACAAAAAAAAACACCAATTTTGTTTGCGGCCATGCGACTGCGCCTCAAGAGCCTTTCTGTACTCTTTCTCCTCCCCCTCGTTCGCGACAAAAAGTGTGACCCGCTCTTTGGGTACATCTTCCCTCCGAAGAAAGCCGTGAATTGCCCAACGATTCACGCTACTTAAGTAGGGTGTCACATTTTTCACAACCACTCATGCCACCAAACATGCCTGGAAAGGAAACCCAGCGTGTGATCCAATATGAAGGGCTGATTCGAGTCTTTGAAGCGTTTTTTCTTGGTTACCTGCCAAGCTTGCTGGGCAAATCACATGAACGCACTAAAAAAAAACAAAGTCACCTCAACCTTTCCCCACCTCTTGGGTTGACCTCCAACGGCGGTAGGTTGGAACAACCACCTGCCCACATTCAACAACACTGGCCCAAAGCCCGAGAAAAAATGCAACTGCACATGCAAGGCCAAAAGCCGGTTACAACCACACCCGCAAAAATGACGCTATGTTGCTCCAGCCGCGCGCGCAATACAGCCGTGACCAGAACCATGCATTGTTTCCCCCTTCGGCAGGCACTGCTTTGTTTACAAGGGCTGTCAATGACCAACTGGCCTTAGTTTTTTCGATTGCTTCAAATTTGGATTCGGTGGCGGTTGCTGGGCATTCTGGTTCTGTTTGCGCCTCTCGCTGCGGTGGTGTCGACTTCCTGCTTCACCTTGGTGCCTTACAAGCCGGGTCGTTTCCAGCGGTTCCAGTGACAAGTTGTGACGAGAAACCCGTAGCGTGGTGTACGCTTGTTCATCCTTGGCATTGTGAACGCGTCCCCGGTTGCTTAACTGCCCTGGGCTCAGTCATGGCGACTCGCCCTCCATGGTGAATTGAAGAACAAATTGTGAGGGAGTTGGCTGCAAGTCCACCACGAACCGGATGGAAGTAGAAAAGGACGCTTGGGAATACAGCCAGTTTTTACCCGAAAATTCGTCGAAAACGGTGAGACCTGGGAAACTCTTGGAAGGTGCGAGCCTGGACACCAACCAGTTGCGGCGAGCAGTTCTTTCACTGAAACTTCCTTTGTTCCGGGCCCGAACAGCACAACTTGAGCCTCACGCTCGGGTCGCGCATCCTTTGTGTTCTTCAACCCCGCTCGTTAATTCAAAGGTTCGTTGCCTGATGTGTGAACGAGATATGCATGTCGGTTCACTGAACCCGGTAGTCGTGTCAGCACCTGTTCTGGCGGAAAAGATCAGGGCAAGGTTAGGCCTGTGACCCGACCGTTGGCCCACAGCCTGCGGAAAAAGCGAGTGGGGCACACACCCCTCATCGAGATGTGTACAAAGCAGTTTGTTGGACCTGGACTTGGGCACGTGCTGGGCTGCTCACGCCGGTGGGCGTCCGCAAGGCCGTGAGCGATCAAGGCGCGCAATATGGTCAGCCATGCTGCTCCGGACTGTAGGGCGGCCGGGCCACTGGGCATGATGTTGGAATGCGGATGGCTGGTTGGACTCCGGACGCCGGATCGCAAAATTGGCTCTCATTTTTCCACCTTCAACCCTGGGCATGTTTGATTTTACCACATGGCGGCGCCGTGCTCTCGCTGCCACCATGGGCACGAGCAGGACAAAAATGGAGATGAGGTCTTTTTAAAAAATATCCTGCTGCAGGCGCAAAATGTCTAATGAGATCCCCCGTGCCTTGCTACCGGGATCACTTGCTGAACGTTTTTCATCCTATAAAGAAATTGAGTTTTCAAAATGACTGCCTGGAAACATTTTTGCTCACGTGACTGGGCAACTGGAAAAAGGTTTCCACACGAAGCCAGCCAGCCATTGACAACTGACAACACGAAGCATATTTTTTGAGACATTGACAACTGCGGGCCCTAATAAAAGCAAAGCACCAAGCCTCAACAAAAAACTTTGCAAAAACTCACCCCAAATACAGAAACATCAACATACGACATGTCAAACATGTGACCACGTCATTCTGAGAGCCAAAAAAAACGTGGCATGACAAAAAACATACCAAGAAATATTGAAACCAAGGGTGGGGAACTTTATAACATGATCCCCGATCGGTTTCGCTCTCGAACCCGGGCTGTCCTATTTTTTAGGAACCCAGGCTTGAGGGTGGACAAAGGTAACAAAAAAAACCACAAAGCCTAAAGAATCAATGGAAAACATGCCTTGAAGAATAGACACTGGCCTTCAACTATGTCAAAGTCTAAAGAATCAGCGCACCCGGATTCGAGTCGAATTGGCCAACCCCCACCCACCTACCCACCTGTAAAGAATTCCAACCCCCAGGTTCCTGGTGGCCCATTGATACTTACAGATTTCATTCTTTAAGACAACCCGGGCTCCTATGTTTTAGAGGAAATTCGCACAGTGATATGACATGCCTGTCCCAAAGTGTCCCACCTTCTGGCCGTTCCCTCTCCCTAACACGTGGCCTCTGAGAATCCTGAAACAAGAAAGCACGAAAAGTAGAGAGTCACCAAAAATATATGAAAACCGCAGTATGTAACCACAACAGGGCCGTGTAACAGCTCTGGGCTCTGGTGTGCAAAAACTGCCTGATGCCAAAGCTGTGCTGCGAGGCCGGGGGTCGCGGGGAGAGGTTGCTACTGGTGTGGTGCAAGTGAGAACTGGGTGGCGCCAAAACAGTGGTGTGTCACATGCATGCTCCGCATTAGAATGCCCGGGGTTGCAAGGAGAGATTGCTACAGCATGCCATGTGGTGCAACGGGGGGCTTATGTGAACCGTGCGTTGCGTGAGCAGTGTTCGGCGTTGAGTCTGCAAAAGCGTATCAATCACATCATGTCAAGCCCGTGGCGTCTACACGCAGGGCTGTGTGGCAGTTGTGAACTGCCTTGTGCTGTGCCAATGTGGTCGTATGCCACGCGCGCGCTTCAGAAGGGCCTGCGTCGCGAGGAAAAATTGTTACAGCATGTGGTGTGGTTAGGTTTGTCAACACGCCTTTGCGTAGAGGCTGTGTTGCGTCAGCGCTCGTTTGTGTAAAATTGCGGCGTGTAGACGCTGGCATGTGTAAGAACTGTGGTCCCAGAGTTCCACGCGCTTCGTACAGACCGCAGACGCGCATGAACTGTGTAGAAACCATGTTGCGCTTGTAGGAGCATTGCTGTTGCTGCCAGTGAATACACGTCATTTATTCATGTCTACGTAAGGGCGGGTCAGTGTCAATTGATTATTCTGGAAATCCCGATGTCAAATCTGGACACTTTGCTTGCCCAAAAGCATGTGCTATATGTATTTATCCTCATCAAATTGCACTTGAGGCCAGAGGGGGTGAACGAAAGCTAGCCGGGCTTCCGGTGGTCTGCTGCTGGTGCTGCTGCTGCTGGTGCTGCTGCTGCCGCTGCTGCGCTGGGCGCTGCTGCGCTGGGTGCTCTGCAGGCGCCGGGTCGTCTGCTGCTGCTGCTGCTGCTGGCGCTGGGTGGTCTGCTGCGGCTGCTGCTGCCGCGGCGTTGGGTATGCTGCTGCTGCTGCCGCTGCTGCGCTGGGCGCTGCAGATGCTTGGTGTGCTGCAGCTGCTTGGTGGTCCCGCTCACCGCGCGCAGGGGGGAGTCGAACCGCGGGGGGGGGGGGGGGCCATAAGATTGATTTAATCAATTATTTGAGGTTTCTGAGGTGCGTCCACCCCGTCACTTAACTTGCTAAAGCAAGAGCAACTCCAGCTAGCTAAGGCTAGCTTTCGTGATATCCTTATTCTTAGTACCGCACAAGCAAAGTGGGTGATATGGCACCCCACTTTTGAAGCCAATGTTTGGCATGGGCCCACAAGGCAACCAAAATTTTGGCAGCGGATGCTCCCATGGATGAAGTCATGTGTGTTTCCAGACGCACCGGTGTTCCTGAAGAAACCTCCCACGCCCGGCGGCTGAAGAAAGCGGTGGTGTGGCCCGCGAGGTGGTCTATTGATGTTTTGTTTGAATTGTTTGGACGCTGCGTCTTCCCAATCAGCCCAGAAACCACCGCAATTGCCTTGCAGGGAGACGGGCCACCCCCTTTGTAGAGGACGGGAAGCCGTGCGCAGTAATCGGGGTGTTTGGAAATGCCGGTCTGGCATTCCACATTTGTCAATCAGGGCACGACGGTACCCCCAAGCCACTCGTTCTGCGTGACAATACTGGAGCCGTTTGTCAGGAATATGTTTTTCGATGACACAACGCCGTCACGTGCATTGATACTTCCGGCACACCGCTGCAGCAATGACAGTGTCACGCAACAAACAAGCGTGTGTCACCGCGGTAAGATCGATGACGCCGTCATGACGAAAACGATGACAAAGTCGTGAAGCCGATGCTGGTTCTTCCCCGCTACCTCAATACACAGATGTTTGGTAGTGCTACTGTATTGCGCCGCACCTCGCGACGATGGCATGAAGAAGGCCTACTTCGTTGTGAAGTGGTGTGAAATGCGCTTGACCTCGGCAGCGTTTCAATGTGCTGCACACGCTTGACACGGTGGTTTGCGCACCACGTGAGCCAAAAGCAACGATCCGGTTGGCAGCAATCGCGTCTACACGGTTCGACATCAAGGAGCGTGGACCCGAACGGTTTGTTGGTCCAAGAAGTGGCCCACGGACGCGCAAGCTCAACTCCAGACTCGCCAGACAAAAAGAGCTGATATTATATGCCACATGACATGTTCCTTCAAAATAGGTGTCTGGGTCGGCCCTGGCGAAATGGCACGACTGCAACAAACTACACAGCATCTTGCCGTTCATGGCGCCAAAAATCCGAATAAGCCACGGCTCAGCGGCTTTGCCGCTACGCTCGATGGGGCATAGCAGCTCAAGGTGTTGGAAGAGAATTGCCGAGCCAATTGTGACTGCTCCACAACTAATTGGTAAACTTGTTGCAGCCAGTGTCTGACATTGCCTGACAGATGGCAACATAGCATGTGCAGCATTGCAGGCCCTGCTGCTTGTCTTTGGTGGGATAAGTGCGTCACACATCTTCATGTTTGAAATGCATGAGTGAACGGATTGCACTATTCTGCAGGAATCGTGGCAGGTAAAATGCCCAGACAAACAGCAAATTGTTGTAGTTTATGCCGGTTTGCCCTGTCACTCTACAAGACACTCCGTGGCTCCATGGCCAATGCGAGTGAATCAAGCGAGTGAAGTGAAAATTGGTGGGCAAGACTTCAGGACAAAGCCATGAAAATGTGGAGAATCGTGGAGCCTTTCATTTAAACAGGGCGTTTGCCAGCGGTCCTCATTGTCTTGTAAGTTTGGATCCTTTCAGATACAGTGTCGCGGCGCCACACCCAACATGGGTAGCCTTAGGAGGCATCCAGACTTCAACTGGACTCTACGAGGCCAAACGACATGGTGACCCACTGGTCGCCTCAAACAAACCGCTCCCATAGCACCGATCTTTGTGGGCATGCAGAGGCAGAAAGTGCACACCAACAAATTGAAAGCTCGGGTCAGTTTTGTACTTGTGGCACCTGTTGCTGCCACTGTTTTGCTTGCAGAGCCGCAACAGCATGGCCCAAGCAACAACAAAACAGCACGGCTTGCCGCACAACCTGTTGCGATCTTGGTTTTGATGATACCATTGAAAGTGTAGGGGTGGCTGTAGGCCCATGTCCGCTCACAGCTTCACATGGGGGCAGCGCTCACATTACTCCCAAGACAAAGACAGAAGGGGGTCCGAGACGAGCCATCAGCTGCTGTGGCACTCTGCACACGTTGGTGCAACCAGCCGCAAGTACACGCTACTCCCTTGGGTCCCTCTTCTCACTGGTGGCCCCCCCTCCTGTCATTCTGCATCTTCGACTTCAATTCACCGACACTGTAAGGCGGTGCTGTGCCTGGCAGACTTGTAGGGTGGGGAAGCAATCGCCATGAAACACAGCATAAATCTATAGTGAAGGGTTGGGGTGATACAACCAGAACACAGCCAAAAACAGAAGATATGAGCAAGGCTGGCTTGCTGACGGACGTCGGCAAGTAAGAAGATGGGTTTAGTGCCTATGGGTCGTTGAGGAATATGTTCGTCTTCCTTAGAAGAAGCAGCGTGAGCCCATGTTCTGGTCTCACATGTAAAAAGGTTTATAGCAGAGTCACGGAGCCCTTCAGCTTTGCAAGCCGGTGAAGTACTTCTCCGTGTTGCAAAGAAATGCCCACCCATCTTATTTCTTCCACTAAGCCTTGCTCGAAGAGGAACGCGGTCGGTGTCAAAATTTTCAGTTTCTGCGGTAGCTTCCGTGGCTCTAACGAAGTGTCTTGCACATCGACGCAGCCAGGGGTTTTGAGGTGAAGATCAAGGCTCAAACTTCGCAAAAAGATCCTTCGCGGAAAGTCGCAGCAGGATGTGCCGAATTATGCTGATTTCTGACGTTGTGATGCGTGACGATGCTTTGTAGCACGGTGATCTGCGATGTGGCGGGATGCTCCAGCGCGGGCAGAGCACGATTGGTTTACTCGCAGCTACTTGGCACGAAATGCACGTGAGGGCAGCAAACTGGTGCAAAAGGCGTGATGGGCAGCGATTTGTCGGGACAACAAAGTGTAAAATCTCTAGTGAAAGATCTTGATTATGCAATTCCTCTTTCTGCTGGTGGCGATCAGCCAGTGTACCTTTTTGATCCTTTTTGGCTTTAGAAAGCCCGTTGGCAACTTGATTCCATGGCTTAGAAGCATTGGGGCATCGGCATATGGTGCAAACATGAATTTGTGAGTTTCACCAGGAAATCTGGGAGTTGGGGCATATTTGTGCCCACGAAAATTGTCCTTGCGTTGGGCTCTACGCGTCAACAAGGCACACTTCATACTGTGGCACATCATAGAGATCCTTTAGAATCCTGGGCTGATCTGCAATTTCCTTTTTAAAGCAGGGGCATGTTCAGTCCGGTCTTGGATATGTTGGTCATTGTCTACCTGAGAGTCTACCAAATTTCCGGCAGTCGGGGTGGCTTGGAATCAACCACCAGGCAATCCACCAAACGAGTGGATGCGTCTGATTTGCTGATTTGCTTTGCTAAGCCTTCTCCTTGCTCTTGCCTGCCTACTTGCATGTCACTGTCAGTTCATTTGGGTTGCTGATGTTTTGCCTCAAGGTACCAAAGTTCGAACAGTTCGGACAACAAAGAAACACGGTTCCATGTCTTGCCTCCAGTCGTCGGCCCTTGTTGGTTGGAACTGGTCGTGGGGACATTTTGAAAGAGAGCTTGCTGTGTTCTCTTGCGCTGTCACCTTCATGGGCCACACATGCTCTACTTCGTTGGATGTTGCACTTTCAATAAAACTCCCTGCAAACCAGTGCCGATTTGATGTATGAGCAATTATGAGGACCTTGGCAGCCACTCATCTTTGACAAAACACTGCAACGTTCGCAGCTAGACGTACGCAGTCATCAACACTTCGGAATCAGATCGCTGCGCAGCCGACAGCGGAAGGGAAGAGCCCTGAAGCGCCGAAGAGCTCAGGAGAGGAAGCATTCCGGTACAATGTCTGTCGCTCAAGTGCAGGCTCTTGGGCAAGGAGCACTGTGTAGAGCGAGTTCCAAACAGCCAGGGGGTGTTCCGTGTTCCGCCCAGAAGCCATCAATGCTCCAGTGCGGTAGCATCCTTGCTCCTACTAGTAAGGCCAGGAGCCCTAGTAGCGTCCTTGCTCCTAGTATATTATTAATGTATGTGTGTGTAAGACGCACGTGAATGGTCGAGAAGAGGTCAACCGCCAATCAGCCAATGCTGGGTGTCTCTTTGATCACGGGTGAGCACCGAAAAACAAAGATGAAAAGTGCGTCTATCAAGATGGTCATTCGACGACAAAGTCATCAAAAACGAGCAAACCCGAGGACTGAGGCCTCTGAGGCTTGGAGAGGGGCAACAGGCGCAGGGCGCAGAGTGCACCAGCAGGACAGGCGCGACGGATAGCACAGCTGGCCGTGGCCCAAGTGGCCCAAGTGGCCGCTGGCGATGGGATGCAGCTATCAAAGAGTTGCCAACCCCATTCCATCGGCCCTTTTTCTGTTGCACTGGTTTTGGCTGACATGCCCGGAGTCGTACAAGCTGGACAAAACGGGTTGTCAGCAAAGGCGTCAAGGGGCGGCGGGGGGCCGACAGGAAGTCAGGCCTAACCCTAAACAGTTTGGGGTCTGCCGTGAACGCGCGAGAGAAGTACATCAGCAAATCTGATCGCGAGTGGCTGGTGATTCGCCTTAAGCAATCTAGATGCAAACCTATCTCAAAGAACCAGCAAAGGAATTAGCACACAGAATATATAGGAAGACGAGGACGTCCACAAACCTTCAGTTTGGGCAGTGAAGGTGCGGGAGAAAAAAGCCGTGTGGTTTCAAGCGCACCACTGTCAAAGCAAAGTGGAATCGCCACACAGGGAGAGCTCAAGAGCTTTGGGATGCACTGACCTCGCTAAGAAAGGCCATGTCAGTATCCTGAGGGGTTCGCTGCTAGCTCACGGGTAACGGAAACGTGTCGATGTCCTTTCTTTGCGCAATTGAACAAAGGATTGTGACTGTGTGACTTCTAAGGGAAACGGCAACAACTCTGGTGCCACAAGCCGTCGATTGTGCCCTCAGACTTGGTTAAATCGATGCTCCTTTTTTGCGTCCTTGCTACTAGTAGCGATGCCAGGAGCCCCTAGAAGCGTCCTTGTTCCTAGTAGAAATGCCCTTTGCTCCTAGTAGCGTCCTTGCTACTAGTAGCGATGCCCTTTGTTGATAGTAGCTTCTTGTTCCTAGTAGTAAGGCCAGGAGCCCCTAGGAGCGTCCTTGCTCCTAGGCTTAATGTGTTGCGATTCAAATCGTCCTTCCTCACACCACGCACTGTCTTACGCAGCACTTACTCACTCATTTTCTCGCAAGTTTCTTTGCGGAAAACACAAAGAATGAACAGCTTGGCTGCTTGGCTCCATTTTGCTCCGCCTCATAGTCTACAGGCCCAGCCGTAGTGGCCAAATGTGGGGCTCTGGCAGCCCTTTCATCCAATTCTGCCTGCACACAGGGAATGCTATGGTCTCACTTGAATTTTGGAAACAGCGCTATACATTAAATTTGTAAAGAGCTTTTCGTGCGGCTTCCCACAAGGCACCGACTTATCCACTCTGAGCTGCATCTTATGACTTTCACCCAACTGCCAAGCTGTTTAGCTCACAGAAATCGCCTTTGATTCATCCATCTGTTGCTCGCAAGCCATCCCCAGGTTGCTGCTACCCCCTTGAAGACAAATCAGCCGGCAAACCATCATCGGTCACCACTTCCTTTTGCTGATAGTTAAGAAGGATCAAACACACAACGATGGAAGGTTTCTCCCAAATAGTGGTTTGTCCTTGATCCTTAAGTTGGCCCAATCTTGGTGCCAATTCACTAGAACAGGGCTTTAGGATGCTTTAGGCATCAGGCCTAAAGAGGCAACTCACAATGAAATCAGCTCTGAAGGAAATTGACCAAACGACCGGAGACCGCAACTGAAACAGCACCGCTTTTCCAATCCGCCCACATCCGAGAACCCGGACCGCTGTGTTGCCGTCCACGGGCAGGGTATTAGCGACTCCCAAGGCAAGGAAGGTTGAAAAAAGCTCCCTGACAACACAATTACAGTTTGGATATTACTATTACATATGTATATACAAACAAATACAAGCATCGACGTAGCCGGCTGGAGAAGTCTTTCAGAGCCTTGTCATCTAAAACGGCTCCGAGGCAGATTTTCTGCGAAAAAAAAAAGTTGGCCATGTCTATTGGGCCTGTCTCTGCCTGTCTCACAGGCACGTCCCTGTCTCTTGCAGGAAGAGCCTTGACACGCTGCTGATGAACAACATCCTGCACCACCTAAGATACGGCAGGCCTACCTATATGCAAAAGAAAGAGGAAAGGGTGGGGTCGCTATTAGGTTGGAGGCCATCGCCACTAGAGTGGAGGCCATCGCTCCTAGGGCGGAGGCCATCGCCAGTAGGTTGGAGACCATCGCTAGTAGGGTGGAGGCCATCGCTAGTAGGGTGGAGGCCATGAGGACCCTACTTTTGAAGGTGCTGCAGGATTTGGTGCATCAACAGTGGCGCGAAAATCACTTTGGTCTTACAAGACACAGCTCAGCTTCCTACGTATTCCTTTATGTATATGATCCCTTTAATATGCATGATTATCATCTGTGGCAAACTTGTCGAGGATTTGCTCACTGTGCCTAGAATGTAGCGCCCTGTGTCAAAGCCCATGAGTATCATGCATCCACTGTATGAAGATTCTCCATGGGCCATTGTACTCAAGCACGGCATGCTTACTCGAGCTTCCCCTGAATGAGTCTTCCATCAAATGGCCAAGGCACACACGCAAGGGTCTAACGTCCTTTGCATTGCGTGAAATAAAGAATTTAAAAACTGTTGTCCCGGACGAGCTTCCCTTCAAAGCTCCCAGGAAACCTGTACAAACACCGCACTTGTACCTGTGTTAAAAGCACGGCCTAGTCAGAACGGCCTCATCAAACACAGTTCAAGATTGGGCGTGAGAAGAAGTGGAACCGATGCATTGGGCATCCTGATGTGAAGCATCTTCTGCTCACTTCCTTGGATGTCTCACCAGAAAGATTGGTTTGATCCATTTGATCTGTCAGTTTGCAAGAAAAAACATCAGTGAACTATGCCACCTAAGGCCTCTGCTCAGCTTTCTCTGGGAGTCCCTTCTCAGCTCCCTTTTCAGGTCCGGGGCCTTGGGTCCCGGGCAGGGTCGCAGGGCGTCGCCGGGGTGCACGGAGCTTTCGCGACGGCAGTGGGAAGTCCAGGCGTCGCCCAGTGCCTGAAGGGGTCGGGTCAGGGATCAAAAACTTGAGGCCGAGGGTAGGTGACGAAAGCTAGCAGGGGTGCATCCG